TATTCACAATGGTATTGGCACGTAAGTGAATTTAATGGATTCGACTGGAAAGACAGTCAGTCAGTTATGAGTCATGCGTAATACACGCTTAGACGATCATGTACCTGTTGATACATAATTAACAAGGAAGATTTGTTCTCCCGCAGTAGGTTGTCATTTCTTTGTAGGTTAGACCAGTTACCATCCAAGGCTATAGAACCCGATTTGTCCTGCTATTTACCCACAGCTGGGGAAGAGAAGAGGATTCATACCTTTCCCAAGGGTAATAGCGCCTAAGTGAATGTAATGGATTCGTTTGGATTTCGAACTCGCCTCAATCCGAGCCGCTAGCCATTACTCCACCGTGCCTCCCCCTGCTATATAGCTCGAGATTCTCGACAACATACAAAGAAGGGTCTGTGATATTATTGATCCTGACCTGGCATCTTGGCTTCTGCATTTTTTCACTACCGTGCAGTTGGTTCACACTGTCTCTTCTAAAAATATTTTCATGGCAGATGTCTTAATCGTGCGCTTTTGTATAATCGCGCTACTTGATTGGCAGTTAGGTCTCATTGTTTTACTCTTGAAATAACGAGATGTAACCGTAAGTCCTATTCTAAGAGTTTATTTTCTCTTCTGGGAAATGTTTTCCAGTTTCTTGCTTTCCTGCAAATTGCCTTCTTTTAACTTCTGTCTTCTTGAATACTGATTTTTTAAAATTTTTATTTTAGTTTCCTCATTAACGTCTTCTATTTAAGATTATATAAACATTTTTTTATTAGTTATGTGTTACCTATGAAATTAACCTCAATACGTTACTATTCAGTCGATAGAGGATACCCTTGAATACTTAAATAGGAGAACAAATAATAATATTAATAATGTGTGTTTCTGGAAAATGTTTTCAGAATCTTGTAACTGCTATTTACGATGTAAATTTAAATACTTAGCCAGATTTTATCTACATATTTAGATATATATTTTCGGCAATATATATCCATTCTTTTTTATCCAATTCTCAAAATCTAATGCCCGGATGATGCCAGATATTTTATATGGTCATAAAAAGGAAAAAAAGTAATATAAAAATCAATGTTCAGAACAATAGGTTAAATAAAACAAATATGACAAGCAATGTATGTAAAATAGGAAAAGACAAAATTATTTGTGGGGTAGAAAATATCGCTTTAAATTGATTGATTCGTGTAAGTAATAGTAATTTATATAATTATTTTATCGGTGATGACTTCTAGAATATTTTTTCAGTAGAATATTTGTCATAATTTCAGCAAAAAAATATCACGTATTGCATAAAGTGTCACCATTGTTATTCTTACTTTAAGACATCGTTGAGTTGACACAGGAAGTTATTCACATGCTCAAGTCGAGAAATAGTTACAACATTATTTAAAACCGGTTAGCTATCCCTAGATCTATGGTACAGTCCGTGATAAAGAAGTTTAAACAGTTTGTCACGACAGAGAATTTGCCTGGGCGTGGAAAAAAAAACAAATTATCACAGAAAAATGCACGAAAACTGTGTTGGGAAGTTAATATAAACCCAAGAGTTGTTTTGAAAGACATCGCCAAACTACGGATACAATGCGCATTAGTCTAAGTACTAGCACAATACAAGCGTTTCCAAATTGATCGTAAACTAAAAACGCAATAAAAATAAGACGCTATTTGCTTCAAAAATGTTTTAATTGTTTTCATGAATACCATATATTAAGGACAACATTGTCTTCATCAAAAAAAAAAATTTCAATGAAAATTTAATTTTTGCAAGATTTTTATAATTTTAATTAATATAAATTTTTATGATTTTAAATCCTTTAAAATTCAGTTTAACTGCTAGGGAATATCGTTATTAAATAAAAAAATTATATTTACTAATCATATATCGTAAAGTTTATTACAATCTGACAAGGGTGAGTATTTTTAAAAAAGAATTTTAAATTGTGTGTGTGTGCGTGTATAAACGATCCGTTTTTGTATATAAGGTCGGTGTTACCTGATATTAGGAAATTTAAACAAAATTCTTTAAAATTCAAAAACATTAGATTCTGGAATATATATATATATATATATATATATATATATATATATATACTGCGTTATTGTCTTCAGTTATTTTTTACGGTTAAAGCGCCCTTAGAACAACATCTGATAAAAATCTTTTTCATCGAGCTGTCACGTAGCTGTTAAATGTTGTCAACAGAAGTAAACAGCTAAGCGCCGTGTTAAAAAAATGCATTTCTATGATATTTTTAACTAAAAGTAAATACTAGTTGCTTCAAATCAGATTTATTTATACTATTAATCAGCTAATATTCCTCAAATAATGTGTCAGAAACGCATATTTTATATTTGGAAGATTTATATATTTATAGCAGTCTGCTAAAAATGGAGCTAAATTCAAAAATTTTGGAAATGTCAAAACGAAAGCTTTTCGCAATGAATTTAAATTATTTTCGAAATACTGCAAAGTATTTTGCATATTGAAAATGTTAAATTTAATCAAGAAATATTTTTCATTTTACAAAAGCCATTTTAATCTTTCGAATCTGTGGAGGTACCTACATATATAGGAAATTATTTTAATAGCAGTAGATAGAGCCGACCAAACATAGAAATGAATACAATATGGGAACCAGTAATAAAGAGTGCCAGAGAAAAGCGATAATAATAACAAAAACTTGCTATATGAGCCCTGATAAATAACAACCAAAAAATTGAGCACTGGTAAAAAAAAAAAATGTTTGCTGAAGATATTAGCTTTATAATACCCAGAAATTCATGCACAGATGTTCTCAAAGACGCCTTCATCCACTGGACCCATGGCACAGTGGATAAAGGTTAGATCCAGTGAGAGGAACAAAAATGTTGTGAGTTCAATATCTGGTTAAGGCGGTGGAAAACCTGTAGAGCGGAATTAACAGGCGATAATTGATAACTGACATCCATTAAAACATGGCAGGTGGAACTAGAACAGTCTACCCGTGTGAGCGAAATAAAGGGTTCAGTTTGACATTCCAACTACCTGAAGAAGGCCGGAGCGTACAAAGGCCGAAATGTTATAATATGGCGACAAAAATGAGGACAATTGTCTGAATAATGTAAATAGTGTACATAATACCTCATCCCAGAAATATATATATATATATATATATATATATATATATATATATATATATATATATATATATTGCGTATATTTTGGCATCATGTTTCATTAAGGCATCTTTCATTAAATAATTTAGACAATTTTTGTTTACCTATTCCTAATTACGGACAAATTTCTTAGTATTCTTATTCAAGGAATAAAAAAAATTAGCATGTTGATGCATATCGATTTCATTCGGAGTGCTTTCGACATTGTCATAATGTCATCTTCAGGTTTTATTTTCTGTTATTTAATTTAGTTCCATTTAATTTTTAAAGAGCCATATTATTTACCAACTAAAATTTGTAATTCTAACTTTCAACTCAGAGGATATGGGGTATGTCGTGTATTTTGTTAAATTACGTTTCTTCTTACACAGGAACTGACATGTGTCTAATGTATAACATTGTAGCAAATTTACATTTGTATCGAATATGACATCTAGAGGTTGTCTATGATTCTAAATCTGTGGGTCATGACTGCTTCTATAATTCCGTTTCTCCCCTTACTTTGAACTTAGCGTAGGCTATTTTGATTGGTGGATCTGAATATAAATAAAACAAATCCAGCTGCTATCTCCCCCCTCTTCTTCCTTACTCTTTTTCACTCCTCTCCCTTTTATCGGGAAATGAGAGTATATCTTGTGTTTTTCTTTCTTACTCTTTTTCTTTTCTTCGTGAAAAGAGGGTGTTTTTATTTTTTTAAAATCTCAATAAATTGTTTACTCAACCGTTATTTACTAACGCATGATGAGATGTGTTAATACACATCGAAACATGTTTTCATTTGTGTAGCGCTTTTACTTGTTTTTTGGTGTAATATCCTAAAATAAAGAATGTATATATAGGCACGGTGGAGTAATGGATAATGGCTTGGATTGAAGAATCGGATCCATTAAATTCACTTACTTACTCTTCTTCTCCCTCCAGCTATGGGTAAATAGACTGGGTTCTATAGCCTTGGATGGCAACTGGTCTAGGACAAGGACAACTCTGAATTCAAAACCTGCGGAGGGTCGTTTGGGGACCTTGTGGCACGTAGTGCACCAGGTCTCTGTATTCGGCCCTTTAAAAAGTGTGGATGGTCCTGCACGAAATCTTCACCACTATAATCAAATCTCATGTGCTGTTGTCGGGCTGTCGGTTTCCTAGGAACTGATCTGCTTGACCTTCATACGTCGAATACGACGGGAGAATCAGTATATATATATATATATATATATATATATATATATATATATATATATATATATATACACAACATTTTGTCCTTACAACATGTTGCTTTTTTTTTTAATTTCTTTCCGTATTTTTCCTTTGAATCAAAACCGTTTCTTTCTTTTTTAATTCGTTTATTCCTTTCAATCTTCCTTTGTTTCATTCATTCATTCATTTTTTCTTCCTTTTAAATATCTATCATTTATATTATTTTTCTTCTTTTTTATAAGGATAATCTACTTCATCGCCATTTCTTTCTTTCTTTCTTTTCCTCCATTTTTTTCTTTCTAATTTTCTTTCTTTCTCTTTCTTTCTTTCTTTCTTTTCTTTACGGACTTTATTTTTCTATCTTTATTTATCTTTCTCTCTTTTCGTTCTATTTTCCTTTCTTTTCTTTCTGACTTTATTTCTCTCTCTTTCTTTTTCTCTTTCTTTCTCTAATTTCGTTTTTTTTTCTCTTTTACTTTCTACCTTTATTTCTCTCTTTCTTTTACTCTTTCTTTCTCTCTTTTTCGTCTTTCTTTCTTTCTTTCTTTCTTTTCCTTCCTCCTTTCTTTTTTTTATCGTTCTGGCTTTATTTCTCTTAATTTTCTTCTTTATCTCTTTCTTTCTTTTCTTTCTTTCCTTTCTTTCAGACTTTATTTTTCTCTGTTTATTTGTCTTTCTCTCTTTTCCATCCGTCTTTCTTTCTCTTTCTTTCTCTCTTTTCCTCCTTTCTTTCTTTCCTTCTTTCTTTCTTTCTTTCTTTCATTCTCTTTTTTCCTCATTTCTTTCTTTCTTTCTTTTCTACAATATTTTACATTTGAATGAAAATATTAAATACACTGGGAGCCTCGTTTCTGTTTTCTTTCTTTCTTTAAATCAAATCTCTTTCTTCTTCATTCACACATATTTTCTTTCTTTCTTTCATTCTTTCTCTTTAACACTTCATTATATTTATTTACTTCTTTCTTTCTTTTTATGTTTCCTTCGTTCCTCTTCGTGTATCTTCTTTCCCAACTGTTAAACCTCTCTAACTACTTAAGCCCTTTCTAATTCCTTTTTTTCTTAATACTTCATTCTTTTCTTTTTTTGTTTAAAAAAAAGGGGGTCCCTAGTTAAAATCTATAGACTAGGAATCTCAAAAAGATATGCTGATTAAGGAAACACCGTCCCTCTCTTCGGCTTCTTCATAGATAAAGCGCGTTGCCTAGAGATGTTCGAGAAAATTCCGTAATAAGAATTCGCCATTTGGCAAGTCCAAAAGCGAAGGTAATTGGAAGACATATTTCTTATTCAACACGTTCTCGCGCCAAAACACGGGAAGACATTAAAACTTTACGAAGACATCGCATTGTAGCAATGTCATTTTCTATCGTCTCATAGAGAAAGCAATGGCGCTGTTAGGACTGGTTGATGCGTTGGAGAACGTAACTTGTGTAAAGGGCATGTCGGGAGAAGATGGGCGGGTTAGTCTCATCTCTTTCCCACTTACTCTCTCTCTCTCACACACACCTATTCACCTACTCAATCACTATTTCGCCATTTTAATTGCATCCTCTGATATATATATATAGAAATGCGTACACACCAAGCACATGTATATAGTATATATATGTATATAAATATACGGTCAGTACTCATATGTAGCAATGAATGCTACACAGTTTCATCATAGATATAAGAATGCTATATAATACCATAGACTGAACATGTGAGCATTTAGGAAGTAAATGGAAATAAAGAGGACATTTTTTGCTTGAATTTCTGCAATGTAGAATTATGATTGTTTATATTATCTAGCCACACTGACGAGCTGTGATACAGCGAATCAGACCGTGGATAACTATATATACTCCGGGAAATCTTCTTGAGCTCTCTAGGGAAAGTTTTTTTTTTTTTTTTTTTTTTTAAATAACGGCTTCTACTGCTACTAAGCATTCCTCTTCAAGTATAAATTGAGTTCTCCGAGCCGCTGGCGTATTTCGTATAGAGAAAAAACGTTAAAATTCCCTTCTTTTCTTCCGCGCGACGATTACCTAGAGGTAAGATATGTCAAATCAACCGGATTTCGATCCCGGATTGAAGCAATATTATTAGCTTACTTTTAAATTATTTTGAATTATGGCAATTTGTGTACCTCCACATGTTTTGACTGACATTTCAACCACCACCTGATGAATATTTATTAACGCTATATATATATATATATATATATATATATATATATATATATATAAAGAAAGAACAGTAAGATATATAATCCTGTGTTCTTATAGATATTTTTATTTTTACAAAATGGTGCTCAATGTAAATTTACAGAGCATTAATATTATAAATTAATTGATTTAAAATATGTTTTTTCGCTACACAGTTCTAACCAAGTTTCAAAAATGGTAGCTAAAAGCGATGAAATGGAACTAATGTCTTTAATTTAATTACAAAATTAAATTCGGGCTTTTAGCTTCCATTTTGAAACATGGTTAAAACTGGGTAGCGAAAGAAAATCATATTTTAAATCAATTAATTATAATATATATATATATATATATATATATATATATATATATATATATATATATATATATATATCAAAGCTGCTCCGACATCAAGGAAAAGACTTTGGCTGGTGTGTTTGTTCGATTTTTCACTGGTTTCAAAATTTTGCTTCGAAAATGGTACCAATTCTTTGAAAAGTAACCAGAGAAACATTTCTCATTTTCTTCACTTTAAGTAGTTTTTCTTTTCTTCTTTTTATTTTCCAGATTATAAGTTTTATTCTCAAAATGCATATTTCATTTTCATTGGTAATTTACATACATGTTATCATTGTCTGAAGGCTGATGTTCAAATATACATTAATATATGAATAACAGGGTTACTTTATTAGAGGAAGGCCCCGAAACGGTGCACATTCTCTCCTGATGACCCCAGTTTAAATATAAATTCGAGAGGAACATATCAAAAGAAATTCAGTGAAGTCATATGCCGTAGAGAAGCTCGGTGGATGTGTCATTGGCATGAGGAGCATTACACATTCAGCTCGTTTCAGGTGAGTTTCAATTACTTTCCAGTAATTTCAATCTTTATTCTTAAAATGCATATTTCATTTTCATTGGTAATTTACATACATGTTATCATTGTCTGAAGGCTGATGCTCAAATATACATTAATATATGAATAACACCGTAACGTAGTAATTTAATCTGAAGAAAAATTCTGCTGCTATCGAATTTTATCAAAACCTAAATCTATGTCCCGGTTTCTTTTCAATCTCAACTTTCCTGAAAGAATTACTATTTTCCCAAGCCAACGTACACCACCACAAAAATGTTGAAAAATCAAAGAAAATTGGTTAAATTCTTTACCTCATGTTTTTGAAGAATGTACAGCAGATACATCCATCCAAAACCATAACACTCTGATCAAAATTTAAACAATATTCATTTATTACAAAAAATTATTGAATATTCGCTTACAGTATTTACATTAGTCGGACTATTGTCCTCATCTTTGTCGCCATATTTGTCACAACGTTTCGGCCGTTGTACGCTCCGGCCTTCTTCAGGTGGTTGGAATTTCGAACCGAACCCTTAATTTCGATCACTGGGGTAGACTGTTCTAGTTCCACGTGCCATGTTTCAGTTCGAAATTCCAACCACCTGAAGAAGGCCGGAGCGTACAACGGCCGAAACGTTGTGACAAATATGGGGACAAAGATGAGGACAATAGTCCGACTAATGTAAATATTGTACATAATACCTCATCTCAGAAATATAGACAGACATTATTCGCTTACTTTTAAATTCCCAGACTTTGAATTATGGCGATTTGTGTCCTCCACGTGTTTCGACTGATATTTCATCCACCTAATGAATATTCATGAACGTTCACTAATTTAAGAGCCTTGATAAACCAATGACATTGTAATTCTAGTAAATAAACACGTGCAACAAATTAAATCATACGTTTGTCGTAAGAAAATACCCCAGAAGATGAAACGCTTTGGCTAAGAATATTTTGTTCCTCATGTTTTTTATTCCTTTACAGATAGACTCTAGCTGAAAATGATTTACAAACAGTTTGTCTGTGGATGACTATATATATATATATATATATATATATGCTCCCGGAAATCTGGTTGAGCTCTCTAGGGAAAGGAGGTTTTAAAAACCGCGTCTTCTACTGCTATTAAGCGTTACCCTTCAAATAATAACTGAGTTCTCCGAGTCACTGGCGCATTTCGTGTCGAGAAAAACTTTAAACTTCCTTCCTTTCTGCCGTGCGACGATGACCTACAGGTAAGATATCTAACTGTGATACAGCGTAACAATCTGTGAATAACAATATATATATATATATATATATATATATATATATATATATATATATATATATATATATATACATAGTGAGCTAGACAAACCTACCTAGGTTTCACCTAAACGGATCGTCAGGGAAAGTTTGGCTCTACGGTTGTATTGAGCTCTTTTTGTTAGTTGTTACTCGTATCGGGGTTTTTCTTTGGGCTTCAGGCCTGCATCTGTGCGATTCTTTTGTCGGCAGAAGTTCATGTTTGTAGCTCTTTCTTTTTTTTTTCCTTTTTCCCTCGAAATTGATTTGATTAGCAGATCAAAAATTCGAGGGTTTTTCAAACGAGTCTAGTTATCTATATTTATATGTGTATATATATATATATATATATATATATATATATATATATATATATATATTATTTTTATTTGTTATATTTGTAAAAAGTTGAATATGTAAATTGCTAGCAAGAATCAAATTAATTTCTTCGTGGTCTTTTTGAACATTTAAATTACTATCAAACATTAAAATCTATTTTTTTACATAAATTACTAAAAATATACCACCCCTTTCTTCCTACGTAAAACCTAATTACAGCTTCTTTCTCTTTACTTCCCCCTTCTTTCTTTTTTTCTTTGTTTCTGTCTTCTCCCCTCCCATTTCAATATATCACTTCCTTTAAGCTAAGCGTTTAAATAGGTCAAGGTCTGATCCCTCCTCCCCCAGTACTAAGTATGGTTGAAAGAAATATTAAAATAAAACCTCTCTAAACTCGGCCATGTCTCTCACACCACTCCTCGCTACCCTCTCTATTAAATTACGTAAACTTAATACTACCCGTCAAAACTGTGAATTTTCATTTCATCTTTCGTTTCATTTTTTGGAAGTGTTATCTGATGACCCAGCGTCCCTTAAAAGGGCTCTGGTAAAATAAATTATTATAATGGAACCTTAAAGTGGTCTATTTTTTTTTCATTCTATATATATATCTATTTTTATTTCATATATATATATATATATATATATATATATGTGTGTGTGTGTGTGTGTGTGTGTGGTGTGTGTGTGTAGGAGGAACGGTGGAGTAATGGATAATGGAGAGCCGAATTCGAATTCAGTCGAATCCAGTTACATTCACTTGCGTGCTAGAGGTGTGAGTCTTCTTCTCCCTCCAGCTATGGGTAAATAGCAGGAGAGACTGGGTTCTATAGCCTTGGATGGCAACTGGTCTAGGAGAAGGACAACTCTGAATTCAAAACCTGTGGAGGGTCATTTTAGTGCTCCAGGTCTCTGTATTCGGCCCTTCAAAAAGTGTGGATGGTCCTGCACGAAACCTTCACCGCTATAATCAAATCTCATGTGTTGTTGTCGGGGTGTCGGTTTCCTAGGAACTGAACAGATCTGCTTTACTCTCATACGTCTAATTCGACGCCAGAGTCATATATATATATATATATATATATATATATATATATATGTGTGTGTGTGTGTGTGTGTGTGTGTGTGTGTAAAGTAAA